CCCCAAAACCCCAAAACCCCAAAACCCCAAAACCCCTTTTGGGTAGCGAATATTGATGAATTTTTTAATTCAGAATCCTTATTTCCTCATAATATCTACGATTTTACGGTCATAAATGTCCTTTCCTACATTTTCCTTCTTATGAAATAGCTCATCAAGCTCTTTCCTTTGGATGTCAATCTCATCCATTGGGAGAACAGCTTCCAGCTCTTTGAGGGTACCAAGGAAGTTAGATCTTTCCTTGGATAACTCTGATTTGAAATGAAGATGCATTTTCCTAGCATGCTCTGCGATCTTGTCTCTGTTTTCAGACCTTGTCATTCCCATTTTGACGGAGACGTATTTTCCTTCAATTGTGCATTCTAGTTCGCTATCAGACATTATAATCGCCTTCATTACTGATTCTTTGAGAGATTCATCATAAACAGAGATAAGGAGATTGTTCTCTCCTCTCACAATGGTCTGGGCTAATTCAGAGAGATTGTATGCATCTCCATATGCTGGCACAGAAACATCATCAAACATATTCGGACTTGCTCTGTAACTCTTGAGAGTCTTGAGGCAATCTTCAAAATCTATAATTTGATTAGAAATTGACAAAACTGTTGAAAATACCTTCAATTCAGAGGTCGAATTCATCATCCCATTCTTGATGAAGACTTTGGAAGTCCATATCTTGAAATCTTTGTCTGATTCTCTCTTTCTTTGCTTCATCTTCTTCCTTCATAGCTTGCTTAGTCTTCTTAGCAAAATTTCTTTGCAAGGTAGCATTGATTGAAAAGATTCTTGGATATACAGCCATCCTTGACTGGTTCATGAATCCCATCCTTCTGAGGATCGTCCAAGAAGAACTCAGAGTCTTAGCCTGAGAAATCCTAGCAGTAATTCTAAAAGCTAAAGATGATTAGATTATATCCTGGATTCAGCTTACCTGATTTAGATATCATTTAAAAAAATACCAATATAATTATTATAAAAAGGGGTTTTGGGGTTTTGGGGTTTTGGGGTTTTGGGGTTTTGGGGTTTTGGGG